TATTATTATTATTATTATTATTATTATTATTATCATCATCATCATCATCATTATTATTATTATCATTATTATTATACTTACAGAAGCATATGTGGTGGTGGACCGATCATTTTGCTTTTCTGTACATCAATCCTACCCCGTGCTTATTCTGACGGTAAGGTATCATGTACAACAATGTATGTCTCTAATTATAAAAATATGTGTCTTTCTCTTGCAGATATTTCCAGGGCTTATTCTCTCGGACATAAAGCCTGCCAAAAGAATGAAGTTCAAGACTGTCTGTTATCTGCTGGTCCAACTCATGCATTGCCGTAAGATGTTCAAAGCCGAGATCCCTTTCTCCAACGTCATGACCTGCGAAGATGACGACAAGGTAGCGTGTCTTTAATTTGGCAACTGAATGCTAAGCTCTCTCGCTTCCTTCTCCGTTGACCCGGGGGCAGAGAGTGTCGGGGCCCTAACCTGAGCCTTCCTTGGTCATATGTGAAAGGAGGAGGATCTGCTTCTGAACTCATTGCATATTGGAAGGACGACACTGGGCCTTCACTGGTCTGCTCCACTGTTAGGTGTGTAGCCAGGAAAGTCCTCTGAACAACGAGGAGAGAAAACATGCAGGCTGCTGGGTGGCCAGGGGTCATTTCCTGCAGGAGCGCACAGGAGCGGAGCTCCGGCAGTAAAGAGCCCAAAGGGGTGGGCACATGCAACAAGCTCCACCCCCTGCTCCCAGCAGCCCTCAGTCAGAGCAAGAAGCAGCCAGGTACGTTGCAGAGCTCCCCCCCGCCCCCCAGTCCAAAACAGTCCAGTGGCATCCTTAAGACCAAGTTTTATTCAGGTACAAGCCCTCCCTCCTCTGCGAGGACAGATCTGCACCTCCCTCCCCCCATGCCCCCCAGTCCAAAACAGTCCAGTGGCATCCTTAAGACCAAGTTTTATTCAGGTACAAGCCCTCCCTCCTCTGCGAGGACAGATCTGCACCTCCCTCCCCCCATAGCTAGCAATCCAAAACAGTCCAGTGGCACCTTTAAGACCAATTTTTATTTAGGTACAAGCTCTTCCCCCTCTGCAAGGACAGATCTGCACCTCCCTCCCCCCATAGCTAGCAATCCAAAACAGTTCAGTGGAGCCTGAGCGGTGGGTGTTGCCTTCTGGCACACTTCTGGTGATGTCAGGGTGTGTGGCATATGCTAATTAGTTATGCTAATGAGCTCCTGCACCTCTTTTTCAACGAAATGACCCCTGGGGGTAGGGAGAAGGCCACCTTTGCAGCAGATGACGGTATGGGAGTCACCTGCCTCAGGGGTCAAAGGAAACTATGCATGGAAGCTCTTATTGCCAAAGAACAATTGAAGCTTGAATCTGCTGTAGAGGTCCATAGCACAGCCTAGGCGGAAAATGTGCTTCCGTGCCTGACGGCAATAGATGCTTACTTTTCTTCTCAGTCCCAACCCATACCCTGCCTTTCTGTGCCACTAACATGTTGGGAAAGACCTCTGCCGTTTTCCCCTCCGGATGGAATTCGGTTCTTCCTCGAAGACAACAGATTTTGGAAGAATACAAATAGTAGAGAAGATTCCCTGCCTCCACTAAATGTCGCCTTCCCAAAACAAAGGTGGCAGTCTTGTTTGTTCTACAGTATTATTTATTTATTAAATTCGACTTTTAGGCCACCCTCCCCCTGAAAAACAGGGCTCAGGGCGGCGCACGACAGTGACAAAATAACAGTCTTACAAAGGGTTTCCAAATTAAATGAATACGTAAAGTGCAGCTTACAGCAGGCTCAGCCAATCTGATGGCGATGATTTCTGGGACATCACTGCCTCGTAGAGGAGGGAGGCGGGGAAGAAAGAGGAGGAAGAATGCCGGACTAGATGGAAGACCGTTGCTGTCCTCAACCGAACACCTGGCAGAACATCCCTGCCTTACGTGCCCTACGGAAGGGCAACAAGTCCCACGGGGCATGGATGTTATTCGGTAAAGAGGGCCACCGGGTAGGGGCCAGGGCAGAGAAAGCCCTGGCTCTAGTTGAGGATAGCCAGATGTCCCTCCGGTCGGGGACCACCAGGAGGTTCTTATCTCTGGAGCGTAAAGCTCTTCTGGGGGGTATGTGGGTCCCGGGCCATTAAGGGCTTTAAAGGTTAACACCAGAATGCTGGATCTGATCCAGTAGTCCACTGAAAGCCAGTGCAGCTTGCACAGCACAGGCTGAATATGTGTCATACGAGGGGTCCCAGTAAGGACCCATGTGGCCCCATTCCGGATCAGCTGGAGTTTCCGGGTCAGCCTCAGCGGCAGCCCTACGTAGAGCGAGTTGCAGTAGTCTAGTCCAGGTGAGACAGGTAAGGGGCCAGTTGCCTGACTTGGCGCAGCTGGGAAAACACCAGTCTGGGTAACATTTGTGATCGGGGCTTCCATTGACAAGGAGGGGTCCAGAATCACATCCAGGCTCTTGACCACTGGTGCCGGTAATCAGGGCGCACCCTCAAGAGTCGGGAGTCGACCTCCAAAACCCGTGTCCCCCCTGCCCGGCCATAGAACCTCCATCTTATCAGGATTCATTCTCAGCCAGCTCTGCTTTAACCATCTCACCACGGCCGCCAAACCCTCAGCCAGATTCGCAGGAGCGGTATCCGTCCAGCCTAACCTCAGCATTCTTCTATTATGCTTTCACAGTTACCTTGGTCTTAACATGGCAGGGTTGTAAAACACTCAAGTGGCTTCTTTCCGGGAAGTGGTGTTTAAAAAGGAATCCAGTGCTGAAAGATACTTGCCTTTGCCTTTTTGTACAGGTCACCCCCCCAAAAAAAATGTTCTGCATGAAGTCTGGCAGAAAAGTGCCCTTGAACAAAATCCATGCCTTGGGCACCGGCTACAATATCTCTTTATGCCAGTTATCTGGAGCCAAGAAGCTGGCGCAGAAAGTCCAAATCCAAGAGCAAATTTTGAGTGGTCCATAAAGTAGCCTGCGTTGGCATTTGGAGATTCAAGCTGGCAGATTCTCTTATATTCATTTGGGGGGGGGGTTTGCCATTGTTCCCTCCAAAGACCCACACACCCCATTAATTAAGCTATGAAACAGAGCATGAACCCCAAGAAAAGGGTGATAAACAAATCATATTATTCCTTTGCCACTAGGTGGTGATGTTACATGGCTTTGCTCCTTGGTTTTTCAGCTGTTCCACAAAGGAAAAAGCACTACATTCCCTAGACACACACACACACACACAAACATACAAATTTGCCATTTGGTCTCTTTATTTTGTGGAGAGGGAGTATGCAGGAGAGGTCTGATGAGAACTGCTTAAACTGGAAATAGCCACCCCATTTCATAAGAACATAAGAGACGCCAATGTTGGATCAAGCCAAAGGCCCATCCAGTCCAACACTCTGTGTCACACAGTGACCAGAAATACCAGTGTCATCAGGAGGTCCACCAGTGGGGCCAGGACACTAGAAGCCCTCCCACTGTTGCCCCCCCCAAAGCACCAAGAATACAGAGCATCCCTTGCCCCAGACTGAGAGTTCCTATCTATACCTTGTGGCTAATAGCCACTGATGGACCTCTGCTCCATATGCTTATCTAATTCCCTTTTGAAGCCATCCATGCTTGTAGCCGCTACCACTTCCTGTGGCAATGAATTCCAAGTAATTTCATCTCCCGTGCCTCACCCCAGTCCTTGCAGGAGGAAGTTACCCTGCCTTGTCCCTATTTCCACGGGTAGTCTCGGGGTGACGAAACACGTGACCTTCCTCTTGCCCCCTGTTTGGCCTTGTCCCTTGCTAAGCCCGGTCAGTGCATCATCTTTGACAATCTCACATTGCAGTCGTGTGAGTTATCATTCCAAGGCCCCAGTCGCTCCACCTGGTAGCCACCGCCCTTCAGCCAGCTGATAACAAACTAAAAAGTGGTCCAGGGAAATAACAGCTGTTAACGCAGGCTGTCTGTGCACGTTAAGGGAAGACATGCGCAGACACAGCTTGGCGCCCAGGTTGATGGCACACCCAGTAGGCGCCTCCCTCTCCCCCCTTCACCCCATGATTTTTGAAACGGAGGGGGGGAGCCAGACATGCCTACGAAGGAGTGGAACCACGTTCCATTCATCGGCCTGGGGACAGACTGCAAGGCTACGGTCTGCTGATGTGTTGCCCACAAAGGCAAAGATCAGCCCTAGCTTGTATCATGGTTAGATCCAAGCAGGGCTATTTTTGGGCAGGAACGCACAGGAACAGAGTTCCGGCTGGCTCCCGAGTTGGCCACGCCCAGCAGGAACTCATTAGCATAATAGGCCACACCCAACAGCAGATTATGCTAATGAGTTCCTGCTGGGCTTTTTTTTACAAAAGAAGCCCTGGATCCAAGTAATGAGTCTATCAATGCTCACAGAGGGGCACATTTGTGCTTTCACTGGCCGTCCTTAGAGCCAGAAAGGCGACTGTTCGAAAAATAGGCAAGCCCATACACCCAGGAATACATGTTGTGGAACGACAGTCCTCACAATGCCTCATTTTCATCCACCGGGAGTTCGAAAGCGGATCCCGAGTCACCATTACAACCCCCCACACATACTCGGTATTTCCACCAACATGGCCCAGTCATAACAGCCTCTCTTGCTGGAGGATTGGGACTCCAGCACTCTCTTTCACACACTCAGGTATGTTACATTTCACATCAAAGCTGCCGCTGAGGATATTCCAGGCAGCTGCGAAAATTCTGTCTGAAAGGCAGCCACCGTCTTCCCACTCTTAGTCGCTTTTTCTGTCAGAGATGATGGCACAGGACATGAGCGTGGGAAGAATGGCCGGAGGCTTATCAGTGAAAAGGGACTCCGTCCTGAGATCCTTTTTACTTCTCCGTAAGCCTGCCCACGTGCTTCTGATACACCTTTCAAGCCACCGGAGCTTTGTCCCATTCGGTGGCCGGAGGTAGGTTTACACGCCCACCTTCCCCGACACAGGGCTTGAGACGGCTAATGGATACGGTGAAGACAGAGCAGAACTCATTCTCCCATGTTTGTTTGTTCCTGCCGCAGAGGAGGTAGTTTTACACGCCCACCTTCCCCGACGCAGGGCTTGAGACGGCTAATTGATACGGTGAAGACAGAGCAGAACTAATTCTCCCATGTTTGTTTGTTCCTGCCGCAACAACACCCCCGGAACTCGAGTGAACCGATACATTAGCCGTTTAATCGAGGCCCGGCAAACGGAGTCGGAGATGGCAGACCTAAATTTTTTTACCCTGAAGTACAAACAGATGGAACGTGAGCAAAAAGTAAGTTCTGTGTGTGTGTGTGTTTTAAAAAGTAACCTCACTGGTCGTAGGAGGAAAAAAGAAGCAGCATTTTTTTCAGTTCCGCCCCCCCCCCAAGTTTGAATTACTTTCTTTGTACTCTAAACAAAGGTTTCATTCTGCACAAGGTCTTTATCAAGATACGGTGTTTTGATCCAGCCAGCTTTTCTGCCGATTAAAAGGCTGGGGGTGGGTTGGCTTTGATTACCCAAAAAAGGCTGTGTTGGGGATTACGGGACCTTTGTGGACAAAAGCCACATGGAATGGGGGCTGCAGTATGGTGGGGAACTTGTTCATTTGTATTCTGCATTTCTGCCCTTACAAGGGCCGCCAAAGTGGCGAACAAATTAAAACAGGCAACCAAGCATTCCCAACATGGTGCCCATGGGCATGATAAGGCCCGCTGACAACTTTCCTGGTGCCGGCCAAGTAAGTCTAGAAATTGGGCAGAGTTAGGTAAGGCATTTTTCCATCAGACCTTCTGGTTGGCTGTGCCAATTAAAAGGCATCCGGTTTAACAGAGCTTCTGCCTGAAATGTTGAAGAGTTACTATTAGAGTTGTATATAACCTCGATCCCTGACATTTAGGAGTTGGCTTCACCTCCAGTGGCAGCCATTTTGTTATTGTGTCCACTGCTGTTAGTCCGAATCCCAGAGGTTGCCGCAGGCTCAAAAAGGTCAGGGACCCCCAACATAGACAATAAAATCACATTTTAAACCTATCAAAACTAAACCCCCCCCGGTCATTAAAATAATCAAACCAGAATTGAAAGAGGCTAAGAAAATAAGCACCGCAGGACACTTGTACTAGTGGGCCTTACTTTCCACTCTAGGAGTCTTTTCTCTGTTGCCTCAACAGCCCGGAAGAGTGTCATGATTGTGAAGCACCTTGAGAACCACAGCAGTTGACAAGTGGTGTATGAATACATAGCATAAGCAACAAGTACAATTTGTGTGCTGCATCTGGGTTGTACTGCATGCACTCCTGAGCATTGTTAAAACACTGTGAGGAAAGAATCTCGAAAACTCATATGTGCAGTTCTATTATCAGAGCTTGGAAGTTAAGCAGGGTCGGCCCTGATTAGTACTTGGATGGGAGACGGCCAAGGAAGTCTAGATTCGCTATGCAGAGGCAAGGAATGACAAACTGTCTCTGTCCATCTCTTGCCCTGACCTGAACGGCCCAGCCAATTCAAATCTCATCAGATCTCAGAGCCTAACCCTGGTTAGTACTTGGATGGAAGGGGCTGTGGCTCACTGGCAGAGCAACCGTTTGGCGTGCAGACGGTCCCAGGTTCAATCCCCGGCATCTCCAGTTAAAAGGATCATGTAGAAGGTGATGTGAAAGACCTCAGCCTGTGACCTTGGAGAGCTGCTGCCAGTCTGGGTAGACTTTGACGTCCCAAGGGTCTGGTTCAGTATAAGGCAGCTTCATGTGTGCATGTGTGTCCACTAAGGAAGTGCAGGGTCACTATGCAGAAGAAGTCAATGGTAAGCCACCCCTGTTCATCTCCTGCTCTGACTTGGATGGCCCAGGCTAGCCCGATCTCATCAGATCTTGGAAGCTAAGTAGGGTCGACCCTGGTTAGTACTTGGATGGGAGACCACTAAGGAAGTCCAGGGTCACTATGCAGAGAGAGGCGATGGCGAGCCGCTTCTGAACGTCTCTCGCCTTGGAAGCCCTACTGAGTGGCCATGTCAGCTGCAACATGATGGCACCTTCCTCCCTCACCACCATCCCATCAAGGTCGCTTTGCAACTAGCATGTCTGAACATCAGCCGTGTAGAGGAGAGGGAAATGGAATGGAATGGAAGGAACTCGGAGCAGGGCCTTTCTGCACAGGCTCTTTGGAACACCTCGACCAAGGAAGCTGGTCTTGCATCATCTTAAAATATGGCTACTTGGTTGGATGTGACCAGTGTTCCCTCTAAGCTGAGTGAGTGTGAGCTAGCTCACAGTTCTTTAGCTTCCGGCTCACACATTTTTGTCTCGGCTCAGGAAGGAGGGCTCCAGAACACACTAATTTATGCAGTAGCCAAATCACCTGCTCACAACTTGAATGCCAGTAGCTCACAAAGTAGAATTTTTGCTCACAAGACTCCACAGCTTAGAGGGAACATTGGATGTGACCAGGCTTTCTGCTGGTGAACAAGGAAGGAGAGGTCTTCTTTGGCCATCAAAAAAAAAAAGGCTGTGCTGAGCATTATGGACTCAGCGTGTACAAAAGCTACATGGGACGGAAGTAGCAATAGGCAGGGAAATTGTGTAGAATTCAGTGGGGAAAGCTGGCTGGATCCAACCTGACGTCTTTTTTCTTCTCCTGGTTGGATTAGTGATTTTACTTTTTTAAAACTTTATTTTATTCAATAATGGGTTGGTTATTTTTTTAATTTAGAAACTGTATCGACAATACATTCACAGTAACCAAGCAGTTTGGGCTACGGTGCCCTCAACACAGTTTGGGAGTTTCGTTCAGAAACTCCCTTTACAGTCTTTGCACTTTAGTCGCATAGTATGAGGCATTGCAAGGAGCTGCGGTGGCTCAAGTGGTTAAGACGCTGAACTGCAAGCTGTGGAAGGTCAGTAGTTCAGCAGTTCAAGACCCGGGTGCCGCAAGACGGGGTGAGCTCCTGTCTCTAGTTCCAGCTCCTGCCAACCGAGCAGTTCGAAAGCAAGAAATTGCAAGTAGATAAATAGGTACCGCTTCGGTGGGAAGGTAACAGCGTTCCGTGCGCCTTGGGGTTTAGTCATGCCGGCCACATGACCACGGAAACGTCTTCGGACAGCGCTGGCTCTTTGGCTTTGAAACGGAGATGAGCACCGCAACCCTACAGTCTTTATTCGACTGGCTTTCGAGCAAGGGAACCTTGACCTTTACCTTTATGAGGCATTGCAAAGTTCTACAAAAAAAACCCCTGAAACAATGCCATTCTTAGGATTCAAGAAGGGACAGACTCGTAGCATGCATCAGTTCATGATTACAGCTTCCTCAGCATGGCTGAGTCTTAGTGTGGGTCTGTTCGAAGGATCTCTTATAAGGGCAATCCAGCTCCTCTCCCCCTCCCCCCAGATGGATACCCTTGGTTTTGAATAGAGCTACTGCAAATTCCAGGATCTTGAACAATCTGGTTGCAGCTCACCAGACCTGTTTGGTTTGCCTGTACAGCACAGCGTTTCCTTAAAGTATGCCTTCTGGTGAAACCCATGCGAGTTAATTTCTGAACAATTCTTGTGACTCTGCTCAGCTTCTTTTCCAGCTACTTTGAATGGACGTGTGTCCTTTTTCTTCTGGCCTCAAAACTGGGAAAACTAAAAAATAATAATGTCAGAACCCTGGTTTTGCAGAGACTTTACAAAAGAATTCATCGTTTGGCAGAAACCCAGTGTGGTCAAAAAAAGGCTGAAATTTGGGGAAGTTATGAATTAGTGAAAACAGAGGTGATTTTCTTTCTTTTTTTTAATGTGGCATGCAGTACATTGGTTGCTGCCTCATCCCAAGCAAAAACAACATTATTCTGCGTATGAATTAAAATCATGTCCATTCACAAATCTGAAATACAGGGAGTGTGTGAGAATACAAAACATACATTCAAGGCGCCCAGGACGTTTGGCTCGCAGCAATAGCCGAACTAAATTTGTGCTCCATGAAGACGCCACCTGTCCCTACCATCCCCTTGTCTATGACATCAGGCGGAGCACTGCCCAGTTGCCAACCTCCAGTTAGGAGCCAAAAATTAGAGATCACGGGAGGAAGTGGAATTCCAAAAAAACCCCATCTGTGACAAAAATAACAAAGAGTCAATAAAGATAAGTTGCAAAAACGTTTACTGTAGTCATTCTGTAGAAAATTCTCTTCTATTATCGCTCACACGCTAACGAATACTGCGCAATGAAAACAATTCGTTTCACAATATTGGCTTTATCTGAGCATGTAGCAATCCCAGTTCTTATCAATTACTACCTATCAACTCTTGAAGGAAACATTCCCTGTTAACTCTCTAATAACAGAACCCAAGGTCTTCACAGCGTGACGCAAATTGTTTTCATTGCGCAGTATAATAGAAAGTGATAATAGAAAAAAAGAATTCTACAGAATTACTACAGTAAATGTTTTTACAACTGTTAAGTCGCTCGCTTAACAAAGTAGTCAGAGAGTGATTCAGCAAATATTCAGCTATATTCAACAACTCGAACACAACTCCAACACGGATCAACATCTGATAGCCAGAACAGCTTTTGCATTAAAGCTGTTCCCTTTTTAAACTTTCCCGACTAATGTAGCCATGCCTACTATACAATTATCAACCAATAAGGTTGTATACATAAGGACCAGTCACGGACGTTCCTGCTCAGGGAGCTTGCTGACCAGTGACTGGTTGGTTCTTCCTGGGCTAGCAATGTGATTGGATGGATTTGGATCCTAGCCCAGGACGAAGCTTTACATGGCAAGTCAGTATGTAGTTCACATACCGTTATGCATTCAGTGGCAGCTATTGAATACATTACAACAACGTATCTTTATTGACTCTTCGTTATTTTTGTCACGGATGTTGTTTTTGGAATTCAACCTCCAGTTAGGGCCTAGAGATCTCCCAGAATGACAAATCATCTCCAGGAGACAGAGATCAGTTCCCCTGGAGAAAATAACTGCTTCAGATGGTTTACTCTATGGCATTATACCCTGCTGGGCTCCATCCCCTCCCCATTCTCCTCCCCCCCACCCATCTTCACGACTTTCCTAACTTTGGTCACCTTAGAAATCCAGCACGGACTATAAGGAAAAGGCCTCGCCCCTTCTCTCCCAGTTCTAAAGCCAGGAAGGAGGCAGGGTGAGGGGACTGTCCCTGCCACGCGGTCCATAGAAGCACCTGACATCCAGAGCCACTGCCCAGGAGAGTCCCAGCTTTCTTTCCCAGCTCTGAATGGTTTAGACCGTCATTAGCATCCTGGCTTCAGAGACACTTCAGAGCTGAAGGGAAACCATGTGCTCTCTCAGGCCTTGTGCAGACACAAGAGATACTCAGAGAGAAAAGATGTGCTTGCCGGTGGCTACCACGTAGTTGTGGGTCACGGACTGAATGTTCAAGAACAGCTTTTAAGTTTCTGTATAGCCAGGAAGTGCAGGCCCTGTGGCTGAATAACTGCATCTTTTTTTCTCTTCTCCTTCCTCCCAGTATCACCAGCTTCAGGACGAATATTTCACCAGTGCTGTAGTCTTGTCACTAATTCTAGCTGCCTTATTCGGCCTTGTCTACCTTTTAATAATCCCACAGTAAGTCTCCCTGTTTGTAATTAAATGCAATGTGTATTTTTAGTCGGGGGTGAGTGTCTTGGTTATGCTTGGGAATCACAGGGTTTTTTAATGCGTTCCTCAAATTGTAGGGGTTTTAATTCGTTTCTGTGACAATACATTCATGCCTCTGGAATTAATCTGGAAGTCCATTGCTTGCTATGTGACTTCACTGAAAATAAAGTTAGGCCACTGCAGATGGATGCTTATGAAGAAAAGCTATGTATCTGAAAACCTATGAATATAATTGGTGCGTTTATCTGGAGACAGGCAGAGTTGCCAACTACCTGGAGAAAAAATGTTCTGTCCTTTTAATTGAAGTTTACTGTGATGTTGTTTACCCAGTGATGATACTACTGGCAGCCAGTTTGGTATAGTGGTTAAGTGAGTGGACTCTAATCTGGGAGGACCGGGTTTGATTTCCCACTCCTCCACATGCACCTGCTGGATGACCTTGGGCAAGCCACAGTTCTGTCAGAGCTGTTCGTGAAAACAGGAGTTTCTGTCAGAGCTCTCTCATCCCCGCCTCCCTCACAGGGGGTCTGTTGTGGGGAGGGGAAAGGAAAGGAGTTTGTAAGCCGCTCTGAGACTCTGAGTGAAGGGCAGGGTATAAATCCAATCTCTTCTTCTTCTCTACTAAATGGACTAATTTTTTTTTTCTGTATAACATGTTCAATTCAGGGTATTTACTTCCATGCAATGAAATACTAAATGGACTAATTTTTTTTTTCCTGTATAGCATTTTTAGGAAGGTCATCTTACATTCAGGGTATTTACTTCCATGCTATGAAAACCTTCTGTACCTCTATTAAAGGGAAAGGACATTTTCTCACGGCCTCTTGGCACTCCTAGGGATGGGGCAAACTGGTCCTTGTTCCTGTCCTTATTGTAGAGCAGGGGGTCCCCAGACTTTTGAAATGTGCAGGCACAGTCGAAATTCTGACACAGGGTGACGGGTGCAATTACAAAATGGCTGCTGCAGGAGGCAGAGCCAGCCACAAAATGCCAGGCATCAAAGTTGCGCATAACTCTCACAGTAACTGTTCAACATTCAAGGCAGAAGCTCTGCTTAACAGAATGCTGCCTATCAAAACTTCTCTTTCGTAGGCCCTGACCTGGATAGCCTAGGCGAGCCCGATCTCGTCAGATCTTAGGAAGCTAAGTAGGGCCGACCCCGGGAGGTATTTGGATGGGAGGCCTTCAAAGAACACCAGGGCCGGGAGGCCAGAGGCAGGCTATCAGGCGGCTTCTCTGAATATCCTTCGTGCCCCGGTAGGAGTCGCCAGAGGTTGCCATGACTTCCAGGCACGGGCACAAACACACACACGTGCGCACACAACTGCAAAAATACCCCCCCCCAAAAAAAAACTTCTCTTTTGTTGAAAGACACTTCTACTTTTAGTAGATATTTATTTCACACCCAGTGCTGGCCAATGAAGTTTTTAAAATATTCCCATCCAAAGGACTGCAGAAGAAGAGATTGGATTTATACCCCGCCCTTCACTACCCAAGGGAGTCTCAGAGCGGCTTACAAACTCCTTTCCCTTCCCCTCCCCACAACAGACACCCTGCTGTGTAGTGACCCTGGTCTCCCTCACTGGCCTCCCATCCAAGTACTGACTATGATTGACCCTGCTTAGCTCCTATGAGCTCAGGCTAAGTTGGACTATTCAGGATGCTGAACTGGGAAGTTACTGGAGAAGGAGGAGGAGGAGGGGGAGGTGGAGGAGGAGAGGAGGAGGAGGAGATTGGATTTATACCCCGCCCTTCCCTTGGAGTCTCAGAGCGGCTTACAAACTCCTTTCCCTTCCCCCCACAACAAAAAACCCGCGAGGAAAAAAAAGAAGAAGAAGAGATTGGATTTATACCCCGCCCTTCACTACCCAAAGGTGTCTCAGAGCGGCTCACGAACTCCTTTCCCTTCCCCTCCCCACAACAGACACCCTGTGAGGTAAAAGAAGAAGAAGAAGAGATTGGATTTATACCCCGCCCTTCACTACCCAAAGGTGGCTCACCAACTCCTTTCCCTTCCCTTCCCCACAACAGACACCCTGTGAGGTAGGTGGGGCTGAGAGAGCTCTGACAGAAATTGCTCTTTTTGAAGAACAGCTCTGACAGAACTATGGCTTGCCCAAGGTCATCCAGCCAGGTGCAAGTGGAGGAGTGGGGAATCAAACCCGGTTCTCCCAGATTGGAGTCCGCGCACTTAACCACTACACCATACCTGGCATGAGGGAGTGGTTAGAATGCTGGATGAGGATCTGGGAGAGTCAGAGTTGAATCCCCACTCTTCCATGAAAGGTTGCTGGGTGACCTCGGGCCGATCACGTCCCTTCAGCCGAACCTACCTCACAGGGTTGTTGTGAAGACCGAACTGGAGGAGAGGAGAGTGATGTACACACCTCCGGGTCCCCCCTGGGGAGGAAGTCGGGGCATAAATGAAGTAAATAAATAAATACCTTCTCACAATTAAGAAATAGTGGCAAACCCTGAGAGAGTATGGAAGAGAGGATCAGTGATTCTGAGACCCTTTAATTAAGTGCAAGAATAAATATTGCATTGTTATAAATGATGATTCAGCTGATGATGGTGAACACCAAAGAGTGGGGAAATTCAAAACACAATGCACCATGTCCATGGATTGTTCAAGGAACCATCCTTGGTATGTTTAGCAAGTTCTAGTGAAAAACCCGGTGCCTTTGACTCCACATGACTCCATTCCCGTGTCTTCCTTCTAGGAGTACCATAGTCCTTGTCCTCCTGGTGTTCTGCATATGCTTCCTCGTGGCGTGTATCATGTACCTCCATGTCACTCGAGTACAAGTAAGTAAGTTGAAATGCTATGACCTCTTATTCTTACGAGAGACATTTGATGAATCAGTGTGGGATCCGTGTAGCCAAATCTCCTTTACTTTGTGCCAATGGCTGATGTAATTTGTATCTGATAGCCATATATGCAGATAGATCGAGACGAGTAGCCATGCGAGTCTGTCTGTAGCAGCAGAAAAGAGCAAGAGTCCAATAGCACCTCAGAGACATTTGTGGCAGGGAATGAGCTTTCATGAGTCACTGCTCACTTCTTCAGATAAAGCTAGCATGTGAGTCCCTCTGTCTTTATATTTTGGAGAGTGCTTTCAGATGCCAAATGATATTAGCAGGCAAATGACAATAGCAGTCATGATTGGATTAGGTGTAATACGCAAAAGGGTAGTAGGCATGGAAAAATCAACCCTGGTAATGAGATAGGAAACCTAGGTCTCGATTAAGTCCAGGTTGGATACATTGTCTTGAGCTTCATTGTCAGTTGCAATTCAGCAGTCTTTGTAATCTCCCTTTCAAATTCCTTTGTAAGAGAACTGCTACTCTTAGGTCAGCAACTGAATGTCCTGGAAGGTTAAAAGGTCCCCCCACTGGTTTTTGAATGTTGTGGTTTCTAATGTCAGGCTTGTGTCCATTAATTCTTTGTTGAAATCATTCTAACAGGAAACACATATAATTATATGCTGTGCTTTACAACTAATATTGCAATCTCAATAGTGTCTTTTTAAAGATATATACTTCAGTAATGTCAGTATCTTTCTACTAACCTGAAAGAGTCTCAAACACTTAACTTAGAATAACTTCAACAGGGTATCACAATTTTTAACAACCATATTATATTTGAAAAGCTTTTTTTTGTAGTCTTCTTTGAGAAGAGATCATTGGAACAGTTCTTTCCAGTGGTAAAGCAAAAAGGAGAATGCCAACCCCCCACTTTAAGATTCTGCAGAGGAAGAGGGTGCATTCCAGTCAATGAGGCAGCAAGCTCTCAGACAGCAGAATTGATGGCTGTACATACACTGCAATTCTTGAGGAACGAGGACGTTGAAATGGAAGAACATCTGCGGTTATCCGTTGGATCTCTATGAAGCAGTTTTGGATTGCTATAAGCAGTATATAACGACTTTTTGTTACAGAGCTGCAGCACAAAATTAGAAAACCTTTGAGTGCGACTGTTCACATACTAGTACAATAGTCTGCCACCAGCCCCTTTTTACTAACCCAATAATCAGAAGCCAAAGGGCAAAGCTTCTAACCCTCCTGGGTCTAAATCAGAAAATTCACCCTGCGAGGTTGGCTCACAGAAGGAGTTATTCTGTTAGGTGGTCTGCCAGTCAAGGCGCTAGATTTAGATAGAGAACTGCGAACACGAAGAACCACAAAAGCCAATTAAAATCTATTTTTATTAAGGTGCTTGAGTACTTGAAACCAGAACACAAGACTGTGGGGATAAAATAAGAAATGTAGAGATCTAAAGGCCAGCTAAAACTGTTACACATTGGTTCCAAGTTACAAGATATCGCCCATTCTCAGATGGTCGTTCCGATAATCCAAAGTGGCTCCACTCCCGAGTCACCACAGGCCAGAGCCGAATGGCCTATGCACGCAAGTGTCCAAGATGGCTGAAAGTGATCAAGAAGATGTCTACATGGCTAGGTCTCAGGCAGCCATCATCAAACTGAGACTAAACTAGAATCGATAAGGTCTCTTTGAGATGACACATAGCCAGAGTGTTGGACCAATGGCTGAGCAGGTGACCTAAGCAGTGGTCTGACCCGGGAGGGAAGCACAGAGCCAATCTGCAGCTAGGCTCGGCTCCTTTCCCATGGGTGCGAATCAGGGCATAATTGGAAGGAATGCAGCTAATTGGGGGAGACAGTACCAAGCTCCCCATCTTCCCCTCACAGCTGTAATATCCACACTTTGCAAGGTCGCTGTGTTCTTTCTCAGCCAAGCAGTCCTAAACTCTGTTTAGCTCACAAGCAGGCCTCATCTGAAGCCTGAACCAAACTTTGAATCAGAATGGCATTTTAGGGGAAACCAAAGTTCTTTACACACTTGAAACACTCTGGGTGCAAGCCTATTTTTTTTTAAAAAAAATTGTGAAGGGCTTTTTGTCCATCTTCCCATCGCAGATCTAGCAGGAGAAAAGGACTCTCTTGGTCATTAACAGAATGGATTGCTGATGCTTAGCTTGCTGAAGTTATCACAAAGAGGAATCTACTGAAATATCAATCACTGTTCTAGATCATCAGTAATAGCCATCGCCTTGACTTCATACATTACAGGAGCGGTGGAATTCACCTGTCTACCTCCCATTTGTATAGACTCCCTTGAAAGGCCTGCTACGTCCACATAGGGGGATTTTTTTTTTAAAAAAAATGGCTTTTTAAGCCCTGCTTTATTTCAAATACGTTCTCTCTCTTTCTTTTTCAGTGTTTTCCAGGGTGCCTGACAATACAAATTCGAACCGTTTTGTGTGTTTTTATTGTGATCTTAATTTATTCAGTGGCACAAAGCTGTGTGGTGAGTACAGTAGACCAGCTGCAACATTGTTCTCGGAGACGTGCATTATGTAATTTGCTTCAGTTGTGCTCTAGACCAGGGGTGTCGAACTCATTTGTTATGAGGGCCGGATCTGACATAAACAAGACCTTGTTCGGCCAGGCCATGTGTGTCATAAAATGAATCCCAGGTAGCGGAGATATAAAATTTATAACGAACACAAACACAAAAGGATTTTTTTTTACTTAAAATAAAAACATGCTTAAAACATTAGCACTCTTGCAATATATTGTTTATTTAACAGTGTCTGGTTACTGACACCTCTTGCTCTGAATTATTGCATCAAAATGTCTGTGCTGCAGCAATCTTGAGTATGCTGTTCAGGTGTGTATCTGTAAGCTGCAAACCTACAATGATGCAGCAGCAGTAGAACTGGAAGAAGAAGCAGAAGACAGCCAGTTCCACTGCGGGCCTGATAGAAGCCCTCCGGGGGCCTAATCCGGCCCCCGGGCCACATGTTTGACACCCCTGCTCTAGACAGACAGGGTAGTGCAGCGGTTAGAGAGTCCAGAGAGGGTTCTAACCTCCACTTAGTCACACAAAGCTGCCTTATACTGAATCAGACCCTCGGTCCACCGAGGTCAGTATTGTCTGCTCAGACTGGCAGGGGCTCTCCACGGGCTCAGGCAGAGGTCTTTCACATTGCCTCCTACCCGATCCTTTTAACTGGAGATGCCGGGGATTGAACCTGGGACCTTCTGTACACAAAGCAGAGGCTTTTCCATGGCCCTGAATAACCTTGGGCCTACCACTCTTTCTCTTAGCCTAATGGCCATTAGAGAAGAGAAGAGAAGAGAAGACATTGGATTTATACCCTGCCCTTCACTTGGAGTCTCAGGGCGGCTTACAAACTCCTTTCCCTTCCCCTCCCCACAACAGACACCCTGTGAGGTGGGTGGGGCTGAGAGAACTCTGACACAAACTGCTCTTTCAGGAACAGCTGTGCCCGAGCTTGTGACTGACCCAAGGTCACATCAGCAGGTGCAAGTGGAGGAGTGCGGAATCAAACCCAGTTCTCCCAGATTAGAGTCCACACACTTAACCACTACACCAAACTGGGTCTCTGAGGGCTATGGTGAGAACCAAAATGGGGGGGGGGTGTCTGCTGCTCTGAGATCCTTGGAGCAAGAATAGATTAAGCATAGATAGATACATGGAGAGACAGCATGGTTTAATGGTTAGAGCGTTGGATTAGGAACAGGGTGAGCCTGGTTCAGATCCCCATCCTGCTACGGAAGCCTGCAGAGTGACTTTGAGCCAGCCTAACCTACCTCATAAGACTGCAGTTGTAAAGATCATGGAAGAGAGCGCAAGACTGCTGTAAGCCACTTTAGCTCCCCATTGGGGGGGTGGGGAAGCGGGGTATAAATGTCTCGACAAATGAATACATAAATCGTTGGAGAAATGCTCTTCTTTAGGTCAGTGAATGTATTTGTGAACTCTGATTAAACCACAACGTTTATAATAATTTTGACCAAAAAACCCAGTTGACTCTAGCATAGGTTGATGTTTGGAACTTTAAAGCCCAGGTTCTTGGAAGGCCCAATGAGCTAAATTGTTCTACGTTTTACTTCTGGCTGTATTGCTGCAGGGAATCAGTTTGTACATGCAGTCAGTGTTCCCTCTAAGCTGAGTGAGTGTGAGCTAGCTCACCGTCTTTTAGCCTCCAGCTCACACGTTTTTGTCTCAGCTCAGGAAGGGATGGCTCCAGAGCATACTGATTTATGTAGTAGCCAAATCGCTCGCTCACAAGTTTAATGCCATTAGCTCACCAAGTAGAATTTTTGCTCACAAGACTCCACGGCTTAGAGAGAACATTGCATGCAGTAGGTCTCCGATTTACACACGAGCGTACATCACTCAGTGATCGATTGTGCAGCACTTCGTGATTTTCATCCAAAATGTGGCCCTTTTAAAAACTGACACGAATGCCTACTGGGAACCTACAAAACATGCATATCGGGGGCACACACCACCGGTAACCCTCCTGATAATGTGCTGTCGCCATGTTGTGTGAGGAGGCCAGGAAGGCTACCCCTCACCTGGCCTTCCACAAACGATATGAAACTGAAATATTCAAGAGTGCTTTTCTGTGTAGGCAATAGGGTAGCACCGTCCAAAACAATTCACAAAGTTATTTAGATAAGTCACAGGGGACTGTGCCAGTTCAGTGTAGTGCTTAAGAGCTGTGGACTCTAATCTGGAGAACAAGGAACACTCTTCCACATACAGCTGCTGGTGGGACCTTGGGTCAGTCACAGTTCTCCCAGAGCTGTTCTCTCAAGAGCAGTTCTCTCAGAGCTCTCTCAGCCCCACCTACCTCACAGGGTGTCTGTCGTGGGGAGACGAAGGGAAAGGAGAAGGGCGGGGTGTAAATCTTCTCTTCTTCTTCTATCCTGCTGTGTTTAGCTTGCTGAAACCAGACTCGTTTCATGTACCGTGTTAAGATTGATGGCTTTGCTTCAGTTCTGTTTTTAGACATCTGATTGGTTTTTCAACCCTAATCCTATCGTATTGATTACTGAATACCACACCCGGTTGATTGTATTGACCCACTCTGTGTAATCCACCTTGAGTCCAAGTGAGAAAGGCAGATTATAAATGACTTAAATAGATAAACAAATAAATACATCTGCATGAACACTGAAAAGTCTGATGGTTATTTTTGCACATACTGGAGCTGAACATGCATGTTAAATATGTGTCCCCTCATCCCACAACGTGGAGACCATGCATGTCAGCAGGATCGACTTGTGGTTAGTAGGCTCCCGGTGCAGGTCAGAAAAGGTCTCATGCGTTCTGACACCGTTCAAAAGCACTATGTTTGAGGAGTGATGAGATTATATGAAGTTTCTCTCTCGTGTTGATCTGGGAAAGGTTCGTTGACACGTACCTGCCACCTTCTTCAAATGATGGGCGTGCACGTGCAAACGCAGCCTGTCTGACTTGTTTTTGCAAATAACCATAGATCTGTTTTTTTTGTTTAGATTCAGCTCTCTGTTTCCCATTTTTCTTCCAGGTGGGTTGTATGCCTTGGGTCTGGAGTTCTAATTCCAGCAAGTCCATAGTGATCATTTCTCCCGGCGGGGCGAACGAAACGATGAGCGAACTTCCGTGCGACGCGGCCCATTATGCGTTCCTCTCTTGCGTGGTCGGGACTCTGACGCTGGCAATATTTTTACGCGTCTCTTCCTTGCCAAAAATGATCCTCCTGCTTTTTGTTACAATTCTGTACATAGTCATTTTGGAACTCAGCGGATACCGAAAAGCAGTGGGGTAAGCACCTGTGTCTGTATAAAGAAGAGTTTAGCAATGGTTTCCGTATCTTATCCCTTCCCTTTCAGGAGGATGGAGTAGGGATTCTAGCCTGGGGGAAGGATTCTGGAGTGCTGATCATTATGGCCTTTCATTGGGAGACGCGGCCTTTAATCCTTTAGTCCTCTGTGGCAAAACAAAGCCCGTGTCTGTGTCAGTACATTAGCACAAACCCATCCCTGGTTACCCTTACCCAGGGCTTCTTTTGTAGAAAAAGCCCAGCAGGAACTCATTAGCATAATAGGCCACACCCAACAGCAGAAACTCATTAGCATATTAGGCCACACCCCTGACAGCACAGCTCATTAGCATATTAGGCCGCACCCCCATGTTACCAGAAGTGTGCTCATCCAGCCACACCCACCTTTTGCTTCTTATTCTGTTTACCTTGTTTGTTGTCAAAACCCAGGGGGTTTTTTTGTAGCAGGAACTCCTTTGCATGTTAGGCCACACACCCCTAATGTAGCCAATCCTAATGAGTTTCTGGTGTTGGGCGTGGCCTATTATGCTAATGAGTTCCTGCTGGGCGTGGCCAACTTGGAAGCCAGCCGGAACTCCGTCCCTGTGCGTTCCTGCCCAAAAATAGCCCTGCCCCTTACCTGTTCCATCCTCTTCTCCTCCACATGGTCTTCCCTACTCACTTTTTAGGACAGGGTTCTGTCTGTTTACTGCATGAACAATATGAAGCACTATTCCACTGATATACAGACATAAGTGCCGTCAAGTCACAACTGATCTGTGGCGACCCAAGCAGTCGGCTCCCAAGGCAAGAGATGTGCAGCGGTGGCTTGCCATTGCCTTCCCCTGAAGACAGTTTCAGAGGGCAGCCGTGTTTGGTGTAGTGGTTAAGAGCGCGGACTCTAATCTGGGAGAACCAGGTTTGATTCCCCACTCCTCCACATGCAGCCAGCTAATGACCTTGGGTCAGTTATGAGTTTTTTCAGAGCTGTTCTCTCAAGGGCAGTTCTCAAAGAGAGCTCTCTCAGCCCCGCCTACCTCCCAGGGTGTCTGTTGTGGGGAGGGGAAGGGAAAGGAGATGGTAAGCCGCTCTGAGACTCCTTCGGGTAGTGAAGGGCAGGGTATGAACTCAATCTCTTCTCCTTCTTCTTTTTTGTGTGGAACAATTAGATTTGAGTCCAGTGAAACAGTTAGAGCTGAGTCCAGTAGCACCATAGAGATCAACAAGAGTTTCAGGGCGTGAGCTTTCACCCGAAAACTCATGTTGGTCTCTAACGTGCTCCCAGACTCTGATCTAACCATTCCCCTGCAGACTCGTCCTTGGCGGTGTGCTGTCCTGCTTAACATCCAAGATCTGATGAGATTGGGCTATACCGGGACGCCTTTCCTCCCGGTGGTGCATCTGCTCATAATGAAACGTCCTTGTGTCCCTAACCTTCAACCATTACAGGGGCTGCAACCAATGTTCCCTCTAAGCTGTGGAGTCTTGTGAGCAGAAATCCTACTTTGTGAGCTACTGGCATTAAAGTTGTGAGCGAGCAGTTTGGCTACTGCATAAATTACTTTGCTCTAGAGCCATCCCTTCCTGAGCTAAGACAAAAACGTGTGAGCTGGAGGCTAAGAAACTGAGCTGGCTCACACTAACTCAGCTTACAGGGAAGACTGGCTGCAACCATTGCTGGTGATTCCACCCCCCACACCCATTTTCTTTCATCAGCCTCTTCTGCCTTTCCTAGCAGAAAGCAAAAGATGGCAGCGGAGGGGTAGGAGGAGTTGGGGGGGGGCAGAAGGCCTCGTTGTTACCTTATCCGCCGGCTGCCGTCCCTCTTGCCTTTTCTGTAGCCCATGCCACTCCTCCGGGGCATTCTGCCTCGCTAGTCAACCAGAAGGCAAGTCTTGAATGCCAGCAGTGATTTCAGAGGGCAAGAATTGAGGTCGCGTTGCATGTACCTTTTGTGGACCACATTGGATAAAATGCCCATGCTTATAATCCCCCTTTCTTTCTTTCTTTTTTCTATTTTAAAGGGGCGGCTCCTTTTATATGCGTGGCTATGAACCCATATTAGCCATTTTGCTGTTTTCCTGTGCTTTGGCACTTCATTCCAGGCAGGTGGATCTGAAGCTACGTCTGGACTACCTCTGGGCTGCGCAGGCAAGGCACCGTTCCCTCCCCCCTTCACTCTCTCTCTCTCTCTCTTCCAAGTGGAATGTTCCGTTTGTCTTTTCTGTTGCCTCTTCTTATATATAAAGTCTGGGGAGGGGGAACTTTTAAACTAACGTGATGATGGCCACCAGGTAGTGGGGATTCATTTTTGTCAACCTCTGAATACCAGTGCTGGGAGACAACATTGAGGGAAGGCCTCGGCCTCTCTGCCCTATCGTTGGCCATCCTGGGGCACCAGTTGGCTCCCATGTGAGACAAGATGCTGGATGAGATGGACTGCTGGTGTGATCCAGCAGGGTTCTTCTGACGTCTTTATGTATGGGACTGTGGCCATTGAGTGGAGTGGGTGGTTGAGTACTGGTCCCGGCTTCCTCTCCTAGGTAGCTTTGTCCCACCTCTTCCCCTCGTCTCATCCCTGTCTCTCTCTTTTTCATCCCTGTGCTGTCCTCACCACTCTCTCCTCCCTCTCTCCTCACCTCTTTCCTCTGGCCACCGCCCCCTCGTCCCTTCAGTCCGATTCAGCTGTCCCTGTCCAGGGCTCTTTTTGTAGAAAAAGCCCAGCAGGAAGTCATTAGCATAATAGGCCACACCCAACAGCAGAAACACATTAGCATATTAGGCCACACCCCTGATAGTGCAGCTCATTAGCATATTAGGCCGCACCCCCATGCTACCAGAAGTGTGGTCATCCAGCCACACCCACCTTTTGCTTCTTATTCTGTTTACATTGTTTGTTGTCAAAACCCAGGGCCTTTTTTGTAGCAGGAGCTCCTTTGCATGTTAGGCCACACACCCCTAATGTAGCCAATTCCAATGAGTTTCTGCTGTTGGTTGTGGCCTGTTATGCTAATGAGCTCCTGCTGGGCGTGGCCAACTCAGGAGCCATCCGGAACTCCGTTCCTGTGCGTTCCTGCCCCAAAATAGCCCTGCCTGTGGCTATTCCGGCAAGGTGATTGTACCATGTATGGAAAGTTTGTGTGGAGATGAGTTTGTCCTTGTAGCAGGAACTCCTATGCATATTAGGCGACACACGCCTCATGTAGCCAATCCTCCAAGAACTTACAGTAGCCCCTGTAAGGAGAGCTCTGTAACCTCTTGGAGGATTGGCTACATTAGGGGTGTGTCGCCTACTATGCAAAGGAGTTCCTCCTACAAAAAGAGCCCTGGCTTGCAGAATAAGCAGAGGGGGTTCTGGTCTGTCCCAAGCCCTGGAGAAGACATCCCAGCTCCTCTTGAGTCCTGCAGTGTCGCTGTGGTGTCCCCAGACAATAGATGTGCTCACCTCGATATGGCCACATTTATCCTTGACTCTTTGTTTCTAGTCCTACGAAAACATAGCAGATTTTTTGGTCTCTTTTCCCTGACTTCCTTACTATGCGAGGTATTTGGTTGCTAAGCATGCAGATGTCCGAGGGTTGTAGTGGTGGAAAGTGCCGTTGAGTCGCCACTGACTTCTGGCAACCCAGTAGGATTTTCAAGGCAAAACAAACTCTCTGTTCCTTAGCAAGCGAGACATGCGCCCCTCTGGTTTGTGGAGTTCTAGCAGTCAACTTTTCACACCCTTGCATCCCCTCAGTTATGTCGAGCTTTTATGCTCACACGATTCAATGTCTTCCCATCAGTGGTTCTCTCTGATGGAATTTGCAAAGAGCCAGTTTGGTGTAGTGATTATGAGCACGGACTCTAATCTGGGAGAACTGGGTTTGATTCCCCACTCCTCCACATGCAGCTGCTGGTGTGACCTTCGATCAGTCACAAGTTCTCTCAGAGCTGTTCTCTCAAGAGCACTCCTTGAAAGAGCTCTCTCAGCCCCACCTACCTCATGTGGTGTCTGTTGTGGGGAAGGGAAGGGAAAGGAGTTTGTAAGCCGCCCTGAGACTCCTTCAGGTAATGAAGGGCGGGGTATAAATCCAATCTCCTCTTCTCTTCTTCTTCTCCCCTCTCATGAAAGACTCTGCTTATGTAGAGGTAGAAAGTCGAATTTGGTAGCCCATATTCTGTTCTGTTGTGATTTCTATGTTAAAGTGTGGGATTTTTGATTTAGTCCCCTCCTGCATAATTTCCGTGGCTATTCTGTTGAGAGGCCTGTTTTCCCGCTTTTGTCAGACCAGCGTCCCTATATTACCTATTCAGTAGCAACGTATCTTCTAGTTGTTATGAGGATTAGGGAGCATAAGGTTAAATCTTTTGATGGATGGTTCCTTTTTCTGTATATTAAAAGCTGCCGGTGTGAATTTGGGTCAGTCACAAGTTCTCTCAGAGCTGTTCTCTCAAGAGCAGTCCTCAAAAGAGCTCTCTCAGCCCCACCTGCCTCACAGGGTGATTATAAAATGCTCTGAGACTCCTTTGGATAGTGAAGGGCGGGGTATAAATCCAATCTCCTCCTCCTTCTTAAGAACATAAGAACATAAGAGAAGCCAATGCTGGATCAGACCAATGGCCCATCTAGTCCAACACTCTGTCACACAGTGGCCAAAAATACCAGGTGCCATCAGGAGGTCCATCAGTGGGGCCGGGACACTAGAAACCCTCCCACTGTTGCCCCCCAAGCACCAAGAATACAGTGCAGCACCTGCCCCAGCCTGAGAGTTCCTATCTATACCTTGTAGCTAATAGCCACTGATGGACCTCTGCTCCATATGTTTATCTAATTCCTTCTTGAAGCTGTCCATGCTTGTAGCTACCACCACCTCCTGTGGCAGTGAATTCCATGTGTTAATCACTCTTTGGGTGAAGAAGGACGTTCTAACCCGACCGCTCAGCAATCCCATGCATAGTCTTATAAACCTCGATCATGTCCCCCCTCAGCCGTCGTTTCTCCAAGCTAAAGAGCCCTAAGCGCTTTAACCTTTCCTCATAGGGAAAGTGTTCCAACCCTTTTATCATTCTAGTTGTCCTTTTCTGCACCTTTTCCAATGCTGTGATATCCTTTTTGAGGTGTGGTGACCAGAACTGTGCACAGTACTCCAAATGAGGACGCACCATTGATTTATACGGGGGCATTATGATACTGGCTGATCTCTTTACAGTTCCCTTCCTAATAATCCCCAGCATAGCGTTGGCCTTTTTTCTTGCAGTCGCACACTGCCTTGACATTTTCATTGAGTTATCTGCTATGACTATCTACTTCTTCTGTTGTTTATGCTTATAACCGATGCCAATAAAGGTACTGGCTGACTGACTGACAGACTGATTTTCATGGCAAGAGACGAACAGAGGCAGTTTGCCATCGCCTATCTCTGCAGAGCAGCCCTGGACTTCCTTGGTGGTCTCCTGTCCAGCTACTTACCAGGGCTGACCTTCTTTAGCTTCTGAGATTTAACAAGATGGGGCTAGCCTGGGCCCCCTCCGGGTCAGGGCATCCGGGAGCAGGGGTTAGCATAACCGATTACTAAAAGCAAACATTGCCATTTAAGCCTCATTGAAATCCCCGGTTGAATAATTCCCTCGATGACCTTCCAGTACGAATGGATTTTCAGGGTGACGCCAAGAGTTCTGCCACAGTGATTCAAAGCATGCCCCTTAGAGGAGGGAGTGCCTTCGTTTCTGGGCCCTGGCAGCCCAAAGGGCCCTTGCACAGTTCCCTGTCGACTGCGCTTCTGAGTAACTGCAGCACCCCCCCCCCGAGAGTCTCAGGACCGAAGCCGAGGCATTAAAGGTCCACCCATTTCAACGGGGTTTTCAAACGAATTGGGGACTGATGTAGAATTGGTTGTATGCGTTCATTGTAAAGGATACCAGTTATCATCACCCTGGCCACTGAGTGCTGCTCCGGCTGAAATTCCCCAGCTGCTTTCAAAGGTGGCCCCGACACAGAGCACATGACAGTAATCTGAGATGAACATCACCAAGGTGTGTATGACAGTGGCCAGGTCAGCGTTTTCTTGGAACGGCCACTGCTGGCACCGAAATTGATCAAAGGCACTCCTAGCCACCTCTGCTCCCTGCTTTATCAGGGAAGGTGAGAAGTCCAGAAGCATCCCCAAGTTGGGGATCTAGTCATTCTGGAAGAGCACAACCCCATCAAGAACCACCTACATATTTCTGCTTGTGTCAGCTTCACACACAGTCGACAGCATTTCCGTGTTGCCTAGATTAAATTTCAGTTCATTGGACACCTGCTTAGCACTTTTGTTACCACCCTGGAATTGGAGAGAGAGAGAGAGCTGGTTGTTACCAACAAACAGATTGCACCTTACTCCACATCTCTGGATTAGAGATTTGTCTGAGACTGCCTGGTTTGCTTTTCTTTCCTCTTTGTGGTTTTAGTGCCCTCTTGAGGTTATATGTATTGCTGCAGTGGTACTCTCCTGCCAACCTAGCCGTTTGAAAGCAAGAAATTGCAAGTAGATAAATAGGTACCACTTCAGTGGGAAGGTAACAGCGTTCCGTGCGCCTCGGTGTTTAGTCATGCCGGCCAAATGACCACGGAAACATCTTCGGACAGCGCTGGCTCTTCGGCTTGGAAACGGAGATGAGCACCACAACGTCGGACTCGACTGGCTTTCGAGCAAGGGAAACCTTTACCTTTACCTTACAGTGGTACTAAGCCAGGTTTACCATTTCAGACGTATTTCTAGAGACACGAGATTGATCTGGGCATTGTGATGCACCTACACTGTTCCATACACAGAGAGAAAGGCTGCCTGTTTTCTTTAATATTTGCTACGTTCACATTATACAGTTTCAGGTGAGTAGCTGTGTTAATCCGTAATAGCAGAACAAAATTTGAGTCCAGTATACAAGAGTTACTGGCAAAAACAGCCATGCTACGAAAAGTTGAAGGCACTAGGAAAAGAGGAACCCCCAACATGAGATGGTCTGAGTCAATTGAGGAAGCCACATCCTTTAGTTTGCAACATCTGATCAAGGCTGTTAACAGTAGGACATTCATAGAAGGGTAAAGGTTTCCCTTACTCAAAAGCTAGTCAGTTCTAACTCTAGGGGGCAGTGCTCATCTCC